TTTTGTTTTGTTTTGTTTGTTTTTTGGTACTGCCACTCGAACAGACAGGAAACAGGAAGAGGAAGTTGCAGTGACACTCACTCACAGTCAGAACTCTGGTTAATTGTGAGTGAAAAAGCCTAATCCTGACCGTTTTGGGACTGTGGGAGGAAACAGGAAACCCACTCACACTGGGAGAACATGCAACCTTGATGAAGAAAAAACCATCAGTTGCCATCATCCACTGACAACTGGGATTGGCTGCAGCGCCACCCGCCACCCTTATATTGGATGGATGGAATATAATGTTTTCTATGTTTCCTTTAAACATATATTGATTTCTATTTCAGCCACGTGTATGTATATATGTATTTTTGCATATATGTATTTATGTATTTATGTATGTATAGCACCCACATTTCCCACATGTATTCTAAAACACTGGACTATTTGAATCATCTGCTGTTCGACTTCATGATAATGTAACAAGATGATGATGATGTCATATGCACCATAGCTAACCTGGGTGAGCATGTTGATCCTTCAACTCATTCATTGGTCTCACACAGTTCACTTTGTTGACCGTTGGGTAAGTCTGACACAGACCTCCGAGGGGACGACGAAGGGAAATAAACCAGTGTTTGCCAGAGCTTTAAGGTCATTTATTTCGATTGGCTGTGTCAAGATGAGATTGTGTTCTTGTTTTGGTTAGAGTCAGTGAGAACTGACTGGTTGTAGATGCAGAAGAACGCCTTTAGTGCTGAACATTTAAATTAAGATGTTCATTTTGACAACCCTAAATTTATACATTTATTAACAATATGACAGCTGCTGAAGGCAAGGGAATACAGACCTACCAGTTATTCCTGGTAGTCTACTTGTGTGTAGTGTGTACTACATGTTAAGCTACATGTAGATGAGGAGCCTCTTCAGTGTGATATTCATTTTAATACTTATATATTATATATTATAATTTATTATATCATATAGGTATAAAGGGAATACACAATTGTCTTTATTGCCCAAAAATAATGCTAAAATATTAATGTAGAAAAAAAATCTGAAAAAAAATGGAGATGTATATACATAGCTTTTTTTTTCTAAAATTACCATACATCTTACAACATGTAGCAGTTGGATCTGACAGCATGTACACAACATGTAGCAGTTGGATCTGACAGCTAAAATACATTTTCACTCTTCAAGAATCAGAGACTTGACATATTTTAAGGAAAGGGTGGACTAGAAGTTTCCTCAAAAATAGAATCCAGGGTCCTCCGTCCCTCTGCAGTGCCCCAGACTTCAAAAAAGAGTCAGTCCTAATGAAGAGGACATTTAACTGGCCTCCCTATGCCAGAAGAGCAGCTGTGTTGAAAGGAGGAACATCCAAGAGGTGCTCCTCTGCATTATTGCTAAAGTAATAAAATTTCACAGCATCGCTACCAGTTAAACACGTTACATCTTTCGCGCCGGGCTGCGGGGTACTGTATTGAAGTTTTTATTTGGGAACGTTAGCTGACAAAGCTGGTGTTTTCTTGACCATGACACTCACCCTGCTGCTGTAATGGAAAAATAATAATGTTATTTAATCTCACACAAGTGTATTTTATGCCTTAAACCATTTTGGCATTTCTTTGATCTGCTCAGAAGACGAGACACTTGTGTGTGAGAGAGATAACCACAGTTATTCTCTGTCTGTTCACCGGATCTGTTCTGAGACCAGGTGTTTCAGATCTACATGCCTAAATGATGGACAGGCTGACGCTCCCATGTCTGTTCTGACAGAACATATAATCATGTGTATTAAAAGAAATCAGTTTAGCTCCACTGTACAGCCATGGCTTCTGTGTTGTGAGTTCCATTCTTGTAACATTTTAAGACATGTTCATCAGCATTTACTCACTGGAATCATATATATATATAATATTTTACACATATTTATATATATACGATATTTTATATATATTTAAATATTTTCTATTAATATATACAGTATATATATTAAATTGGAACTTTTTTATGTAAGTATGAGGAAAAAAAGAATTGTTAGCTTGATGTTGGCAGTAAATTATTGTCCAGTATTTACATTAAACAAAAACTTTCCATAACATATTTAGGGGAGGGGCTTGACCTCAGCATTGACCACTGATATGGCCCTCCAAAAATAATGATGGTGGCAGCAGTGGCCTTCAACTCTTTGAGTTAAGTAATTGGTTTAAAGTGTGTGGTTGTATGACTGCTCTTCATCTAAAGATATGTATTTTTCCATCTACATGGTGCTGTGTATCAATAACCTGAGGCATAAATAAAGTATTTGAAAAAACATGTATATGGTATTCTAAAATACTTAGATATACTGTATGTGAACATAAAAAAACAGATGGAGGTGGATGTTGGGCAATTCCATGGCAGAAAAACATTAGTTGGAGGACGGACCACTGTGAGCTCCTCTCAAATTAGAACCAGGACACGCCAGTGAATGAGCTCTTTATGCTTTTGTTATGAGATCCACACACAGAGAGAACAACACATACACACAGTGGTGAAGAAAGCACTAAAAGTACAAATAAACAGCGCAGACAAAAATCTACACAGACGAAGTACCACATCAAGTTTTCCACTGGTGTAACAATGTGTTGAAACATTACTTATACTGTATTCAAACATGCTTAAAGTTGCAGTTTATTTCACAGAGAAACATCTAGTAGTATGACGGACATTTCAACAAACAGCACTGTCTTAACCTCTTAGTTCTTCCAAGTGTAACATGAAAACTGAGATGTTTGGGTTTTTTGTGTTTTTTTCTCTGTTTGCTCCTGTATTGAGATTTTAATGAAGGGCTAACTTTCTCTATTTGCATGTGGACATATCACTTCAAAATGTCACATTATCCAGTTATTGTGAAACCTGGTAACATGCTACTGCAGTGCAGTGTGATTAGCAGTGACGTAAACAAAGCACAGAGCAGTCTTTGCACTGATTGCCTTAACTGGGTTCACTTTGTGTCTGATAGTGTTACTATGTACTTAGTAACTTTGTGAAGAGGTCACTATTAATTGTCAGTATGTTATTTGAAGTGAAGAAACACATTAGCTTGGTTAGTATATGATAGTGTTATATGCTATTAAAGTTTGCTAATGCTAATAAAGCTAACAGGATTATGGTGTTGTTATGCTAGGGTTAGGTTACACAGAATTAACAAAATGGCAGCATGGTCTTCAAATTAGGTCATTCCGTTTTAATAACAAAACTTATAGCTAAATGTTACTCTACCATTTGACATTCACATAGCCAGCCTTTTAAATAAAAAATCAGCTGTGATTGGCTGCCGTTGACCAAGCCTGACAAAAACAATAGTCTGGTCATTTAGGTGACCACCATTTGAAAACCATCAACATCCATTTATTTATTTAAACTAATCAGATAAAGGTCATGTGAAAGGGTTTAGCGGTAGCACTATCAAAATGTGATAGCCATATGTTCAGTTTTCACCAGCCACCTCTTTGTAGTCATGGGTGGCGCTACGGATTGTATTGGCTTTAAATAGCCTGCGTTATGTTTAAAATACACATGTGTGTGCTGTGCTTTATCGCATTATATTTGTCTGCAGTTACTTCACTCTGAGCAGTCGCCACCTGATGGCCGAAAGCTGCATCAGTCCAACGTCCTAGCGATCACTTTTTAAACTCCACAGCTATGTTAATATCAGCAGGGCCTAAGGGTGGTAACAAAATCAAGTACACACACTTGTCTTTTGTGTGGCATGTGTTCAGTGAAGTTGTGTATTCTGTCTGAACGCCATGTGAACAAGAGCAGCGCTGCATCTGCAGTTAGGTTTACTCTGGAAACAGGCGGCAGGGTCTTCTGAGGGGATCCGCCAGGAGGTTCGGGGGGGGCATTCTTGCCTATCATTCTTCACTCTCTCACTGTTTCTTTTATTTCATGTTGCTCAATGTGTGGGGCTTCTGTGAAAGCAGTGTGTGTGTGTGTCCGTGTAAGCAAGAAAAAAAAAACAACAAAAATGAAGGAAGTGAAACTGGTACCACAGCAACATGTCACCACGTAGAACAGCACAGCCACAGCTTGAACATGAATTATGTTGTTTCCACTGTTTGTGATTCCTTTGACATGCCCCACCTTAATCAGAGTAATGAGGGGCAGACGTTGTTTTGCAGCCTGGTCCAAGGAGACGATTCATGTTTGATGACTGATTCAAGTAAATGTTCATTGTAACAAGAGCATAAATCCTAATAGTTTCAGACATTAACCCTGTGTTAACATTAAGTATCCAGAGATTCTCATACTCATCAATACTTGGGGGTCAAGGGAGCAGACATGGGTTCAGAAGGTTTCAGGTTTGAGTCCACCAAGTTACCACTGAGGTGCTCAGAGCACCGTCCCTACACACTGCTCCCCTTTGGTGATGGGTTAAAAACAGAGGTCACATTATGTTATGTGGTGTGCTGTCAAAGATTGACACTATAAGAAGATTTTTAAAGGCAAAATACCAAAGACAATGTCAGTAAAGAGAAGAGTCTTAAAAAGCCTCTATGTCCTCTATGCCACTGACGCAGCCAAGAGAAAAAGCGTGGCGTTGGCCAGCAGATGTCAGTGTAGCACCTCACAAGACAAGACAAGGTTAGAATCAATGTTTTAACCATCACATTATGGAAGAGGGCTGTTGATTACATACTGTTTATGACCACCAGGAGACCAGACATTCTCAATGTTAACAAACACAATTCCATACCAACTTAACAAAATCCCATGCTCCACTTAAGATAAATAGATAAATAAGGATTTTGAAACTGCAGACTTAAAAAAAAAACCTTTAGAAATACTCCCCCTAAAGTAAATGGTTTATTTACATCAACAGATATGATGAAATCATCTCTGTACTCTTGATGATTTAGGGGAGACAACAGCAGCTCTCCATCTCTCCCTGTTTTTTGCACCCAAACACCTTCATGTTGACATGCACTTACACAATCAAGAAATCACACAAAATAAAGAAAAAAAAGGACAGCTAATATACAAGCTTTATTTGAAAATGCAGTTTTTACATAAATAGTTGTACTTGATCTATCTGCCTGGTTTGGTATATTTGTGATTGTGTGGGTGAAATCAACATCTTAGGTCAAAAGGTCACCACCTTAGTCTGCTTGGGTTTGGCTTTCTTCACTGGAACATGGACCTCTTCATGGTCTGCACTCATGTTGTTGGACAACCAGCCCACAGTCACAGTGTTAGCTGCACAGACAGCAGCAGAGTTACAGGCAGGTCGACCACATCACATCTGACAGCACACAGCTCTGAAATCACTGCTTTACAATCAACAGTCAACAGCTGCTACAAACACAACAAAAGGATCTTTGAAATCTTTACCAGAAGAAAATACATGCTAAACTCTTTGTTAAGCTTCAGTACCATGTATGATTTTTTTTTTTAAGCCGTCAGACACACTACAGAGACTCACTTGCAGCCTGGTGCTCTGGACAGTCTTTCTGAAAATGTTCCACTGACCCACAGACACGACAGCAGCCTCCTGCATGCAAACCCAAACACAGAAAGGTCAACATTTAGAAGAACTGTGAGCGACTTGAATGGCCTTTTCTTCTGCTCCTGACAGGAGATATTCTCCATCTTCATACCTTGTGCATAAAGTCCTTTTGGGTTATCAGGACAGGACCGTGACAGATGTCCACTCTGACCACAGATGAAGCACTTGGCATATGGGTAATCACCTGAGGTAAAAACAGCAGATTTTAATATTCTGTCCATTTTCAGTGGTTGTAGCCGCCACCAGTCACTGTCCCCGTTATACTCACCCAGAGCTGGGTCAACTTTAGCTTTACACTTGTGGAGTTCATGTTCTGTTGAGCCACACCTGTAGCAGATGCCTGTGCCCATCTCTTCATCGTTGTCTGCTTCTGGACAGTCCATCACACCATGGCCTGGTTTCCTGCAGTTGAAGCAGATCTAAGGAGAAACACAGGCCCATTCAATAATAATAATAATAATAATAAATGAATAATAATTGGAGGGGACAAATGTGTGGTTCCTCTGGGGCTCCAACCCAGGACCTCCTTCGGGTAAGGCAGATTGTAAGCAGGTGCGATAACCACTACACTATGAAAATGTATATTTTTAACATGGACAAAAGAGACCAACTAATCAAGGATCTCAGGAATTCAAAAATTAACATGCATATAAAAAGAAACGATAACTTTTTTAAAAAGTGCTGTTCTCGCTACAGCCTACAGCAGGGCTGTCAAACTCAAATTATCAACAGGCCCAAATTAAAAACTGGGACAGAGTCACGGGCCAGACATAATATTTATTGAAACATCGATGGCAATTGTTCATGTTTTCCCTTCTCTCTTGATCTGTAACGTTGAATTTTTTTCATATGGAAACAAACTCAACACATTAATTCTGGAACAACCAAAACTGAATATTATAAACACATGAGGAAATTAAATTTGAAATAAAACACACGTCAGTGGTATTTGTTTCTGATCCTGTCTCTTTATCTGTAGCCTTTCCAGTTCCTTTCTAACATACATCTTTTTTTTAACAGACCAACAACAAAAATAAACAAAATGCGCATACATCGCTAATACTATAAATCCTACCAATATATATACTGGCCAACTCAACTCGTATGATATGCTCTTCCAGCCAAATATAATTACACTGGGGGTCAGATTTGGCCCCCGGGCCTGAGTTTGACACATGTGGCCTACAGACTATCAGCACAGATGACAGTGCAGGCATGCTGACCAAAACAAAACACATGGTGAAGGAAAAGAACACAGCCTCCTTCCAGAGGTTCAACAATATATTAAGGAAGGGATGTCCACACTTTCTCAGCTTTAGAGCTGCTTTTCAAATGACCGGGGTAAAGTGATCTACCTACATTGAAAACTATGAATATATATTTACTACCTTGATTAAATGGCTGTAGTTGTATGGCACAACACTGTCTGACTCAATACTTCTATGGTCCTTATTTTAGCCCTAGAATTAAAACTTTTTTTTTGTTTGTTTGTTTCTTTAAACGTAGTTGCTCAGGATCTACCAGCACTCCCTTTGTGACCTACTGGTAGATCCCAATCTACTTACTGGGCACCCCTGTATTAAGGGTTAAGGTAAACACTTGTTTTAGACTTAAGTCTTAAATCAACCATGATAGCAGGTAAATGATGTGTTTTTCCTGGATGAACTTACCTAAGAGAAAAAAAATCAATTTAAAATGACTTGCCATTTTGGTCTTCTTGTCTGTCTGTCTCTTAATTCTTCTGTCTTCCCTTCTCCTGTCTTTCTTTAAAGCAGTTTCCACCTCCTGCACCAGTTCACGGTCCAGCCTCATTCCTCTGTTGTCAGTTCTGGGCAGTGGTTGTCCAGTCTGCTGGAGATACTCCATAAAACCGTTTACGTCCTCGTTGACATAGTCCTTTTTCTTATGATTTGGCTTTCTCACAGCTGAGCTGCTGGCTAGAGTCCTCGTCAGATCACCTCTTTGATCATGCTGACTACTGTCACCCGAGTGACCTCGGTAACCAGAGCGACCTGCTTTAAACTGACTCCACGGAGTGGCCTGTGCTGGTTTGTGCTTGTGGATGTTGTTGGCCCTTGCCCACCTCGTCATGGCTGCACTCTGTGGAGTCTAAGACCAAACAGTCACAAACAGTCACAATGTAAGACATTTAGTCTGTATGACAGCAAAGGGGAGATGATCTGCTGGATAAAACATCATAGTTCTACATTTACCGATATGAAGTGAAAGGGAATTACTTGTCACTGTCACACCACAAATATGACCTCTGCGTTTTACCCATCACCAAAGTGAGCAGGGGGGAGTGACCGGGCAGCAGTGAGTGGTGACAGTGCCCTGCTACAGTGCCAAACCTTCCAGACCCAAGTCCGCTTCCTCAGCCATCAAGCCACCACTCCCGTATGTGTAACAAAACAAACTGTGCAGTGACAGTCTTAACAATGTTTTTTCATCAAATTTCAACGTTGTCTCGAACTATGATATGTTTTTTTTTTCTTAAATGTGATGTCAGTTTTACCTATAGGATCTAAGAGAAGTAGGACAGGCTGTGATCAAAGATTTTTCTGATGTCCATCAAGGTACGAGCACTGCACAGCGTCTTGATTTTTTTTTTTTTTTTTTTTTTGTGGTTGGTTGACTTTATTGGTTGAACACACACACACACAAACAAACACGTACAGTACACTCATACTGTATCAATTGTACGTGCAATACTAACAACGCGTGTAACAGCAAAATGTTAACTGTGCTGTGTGAGGGTATTTCGTGAGCACCAGAGTTATGCTAAAGCGCTTTTAGTCGTCAATCCAAATATTAAAAAATACAAACATGTTTACCTCTTCGTTTTGTTGCTCCTGTCTTCTAAAGAATTGCTGATAATAAGCGTTTCAACTGACACAATCAAAAACAACCTCTTCAGTCCTCGTGTCTAAATTTAACCCGGAAGTTTTCACGCAGGTCATAGGTGCTTGGTAATAGCCACCAGTGTTAATGCGTTGGCGCCGCCTACTGACCTAGATTGTGGAAAGAAACTGGTAACATGATAAGAAATATTATATTTGTATTTCCACGCCGATAAGATTATGGAGAAAAGAACAACTGCTGTACACTAATAAATAACAAAACAAAAAAGAAGCAGCTACAGACATAGGTAAACAAAAAGTGTACTATCCAATGAGAAGCACACAGTTCTGAATATATAGATGTCGTACATAAAACTGCAGTTACCAGCAAATTATGAGTGTGTTGCTTTATCTCTATGGGTTTATCTACCATCTTAACAAGTTCAGCTCCGTCTCATTCCGCATTGGTAAGGCTTCTCCACGTTTTGTTTTGTACCTTTAATAAAAATAATTTCTCGGGTTGTTTTACAATATCTTTTCTTTGTGCCTGTCTACATTTCCTTTCATCCCATTCCTTCCTGTGCAAAAATAAACTTTATATTTTTAATTCTTCAACAAACAACAAAGAACATACAACAACAAAGTTGGGACTATGTCAAAGAGAAATGCGTTTTAGTTTTGTTTTTCCACCGAAAGACCGTAGCACTGTATTTATGACGTCACAGAGAGCGACTCGTCAAGTAGTACGTCAACATTACACGACCAGACTGTCAGCGACGACAAGAAAATGGCTGCAAGGTTACTTCTTCGTTCGGCTCTCAGAGCTGCGACAACTTACCGGGCTGCCCCGGTACCTGCTTTTACCCGCTGCATGGCGACTGGAGGTGAGAATTACTGAACATTTAGCCGCTCAGTTGAAACCTTGAATTCTTTTAATGATGCTTTACCACGGCCGCGGTTAGACAGCAAGCAATGGCGGAAGACCATTGAGTGCTAGCGTTGATAGCAATGAGACTTAGCAGTAAAAGGTCAAAGCAGTGTCATGGTAAACACGTGAAATAATAATAATTGTTATCCCATAGTCACGGCAAACACAATACGTCTTTATTGTTTATGATAAAACGTTGATGATTGGAATATTTAACGAACGATTGTTGTTTTCCAAGGATACAATTGACTCGGTGATATCCTAGTTGTACACGTTAAATGTAAGTTTACATCACTTCTTTACTAAATCTTTCATATATATATATATATATAACAGCAGGTAGATTTCATGATGGCATTGTGACTACCGAAATATCCAAATGTTTTTTTAACAAAGATATAGCTTTGCATTGGCCTCCAAATATAAGCTCTAGCTACCCTCCTTGGCGTGAAGTAGTGACACCAACTAACTGTCTGTCTATCTAACTACTGTCTGTTCATATCACATTGTTGATGTGAAAAGAAAACGACTAAGCATTTCATATCCAATGTTTTCGTCAGTAAAGAGTTCAGAGAGGTTTATGATTTGTGTCACTTAATTACTGACAAGGCTGTAAACGCATAACTGACGACTTTCAACGTGTTGACCAGGTTTTAAGCTTAAGGTTGAACAAATGTTTTGCAATAATTACTTTTTGTGCTAAATAATTAGGTGTTGAAAATTCATAGATTGGAAGTGAAAATTGCATTAAAGTTTTTTTAACAAACGTCAAAAGTAAAGTGACAAGTTGCAGAGCATAAGAGTCAAATGTACTAAGAAATTCATTATATTTAACCCTGAAGTATGTATTTTTATGAAAAAATAATTTATCCATGTACGATCAGTTGGTTCACTATTGTCTACCGGTCTTTCTTTATAATAGATGGTCTTAATAATTACACAAGGGCTTCAGCCTCGGCTGCAACCGGAAGAATTGGCCCCCCACAAAAAGACACAACAACCAATTAAGCCAAGATGTGTCGATCAGAGTCGGTCAAGCTGTGCTACCTCACTTATCCTGTTCTGCCTTTGTGCAATACCCCCTTAGTTACAGTGACCATTTGACCATTGTTTGTCTGCAGGAATTCCTACTGATGAGGAGCAGGCCACAGGACTGGAAAGGACTATTATGCAGGCAGCAAAAGAGGGAAAGGTATTGCATACTCAAAAGTAACAGAAATAGTGATGCACCGTGGGTCACACAGTGGAAGTGTGGTTAGAGCAAGAAGGTCACTGGTTTGTTCCGCTGTAGCAACTCTCAGTACTGTGACTTCTTTCCACAGTCCAAAAAACATGCAGATTAGGTTAATTGGCACTTTCTGAGTTTCAATGAGCATCTGTATGAGTATCTTACAAAGTGATTAAGATTAGGTGGAGACTTTTATTTAAAAAGTCAGAAGAAAATATACCCTCCAGTCCTTCCGTGCTTGAGGCATACAGGTGATAACTTAAGCTAAATGACAGGGGAACTCAGTGCTAGGCCTAAGCCCACTTTTTATGGTGTTTATAGGGCCTTGTTTGTACTGGCTGAAGTGAAGTCCGCAACACTTCAGACTGATGTCATCAAAGTACTTAAATTTATATCCAGACTGACTCTCAGAGGTGGTAGTGCAATGGTAAAGGGATGTTTTGCAGGTGACAGTGTGGAAAAGATGTCTTGTCCTTGCCATGCTGCTAAATCAGAGTAGATTAGTAAAGTAGTAAAACATTCTAAGGAAAATGTTTTTGTTTCCTATCAATGAAGTTTGGTTTTTTTTGATAATAGGGAAAAAGCTCTTCCTTCCAGACTGTTGACCTGCAGTGTAATTTAGCACTTTTCATTGTACAGGCTAAAACATTGTTAAATCCAAACAAAAATGTGTTTACCTTGAAACAGAACCATCCTGTCATGTACTCCATCAATACATGGCTTGCCCCTCTTTTACAAATGTTTGTCTTACCAGCTTTCCCTCCTGCTTATTTCAGGATCCCTACAATGTGGGTAAATCAAAGGCATACCTTGGCACTAAGGAAGAGCCCAACATTGTTCCCTCCATCACCAACAAGAGGATTGTGGGATGTATCTGTAAGTGTTTTATATATTTGTTTTAAACAAACAAACACTTTATGAAGCAGACTTTATGAAAAATATAAAGCCGTCAAAAAGTGTTTGAGTGTATGTAAGTTTAAAATAACATCATAAGTCATTTATAGGGATGTTTTGACACGTCGTGAATCGGCTGAATCCAGCTAATGCTGGCCATGGGAAATCGGGAAGCATCAGTTGCACGTCCCTTTTTGTTATGCTGGGACATTGTCAGCTTGCCATCTTTTGGGTTATTTTGTTATATTAAAAAGCTTCAAAAATACACTATTTTCTGACATTGTTTCTTCCACTCTTCAGGTGAAGAAGACAACACAGCAGTAGTTTGGTTCTGGCTCCATCAGGGAGAGTCCCAGCGCTGCCCATCCTGTGGGACCTACTACAAATTGGTGCACGATGAGTTGCACTAATTATCTTTTTTTGATCAGGCAGTCGTTTGTGTGCACAGCCATAGCATCTCTTAACTGTTCCTACAGAGCAAGGTGAAGAAGCCCCAGACTCTGACTGTTGACCTAAAATGTCTCCTCACCCTTCGTCAGGAGTCTAGGTCTTTGGCTTGCTCTACTTAAATACTTGATCAATTCATTTTCTTCAGTAGCTTTGCTTTACATGTTACATTTATAAAGGGGATCAGATGTGGTTTGGGACACAACTGTCTTTTCAAAACATTTCCATTCCTGCAGTTTACATTGGCGTTGTACTGTACAATGTTACACTCGATGGTCCACTCGCTCCATGTATTAAACAAAGTCTTCAATAAATTATCCCAAAACTAACGTTTGTTGGATTTTATTTGTGAGCGCTCCCTTTCACCTATTGATGATGCTTACTGCATTGTGAAACATCTTTAACTTACTTGAGGTGAGTCCAGTTGCCTTCTGTAAAACTGTTTTTGAGATACTGTACATTAGTTGTATTCACATAACAATTTTGAAAAGTTACTGAATTTGTATTTACAGAAAGTAAGGCGAGTGAGTGCCCTTCTTCTTTGGCGCACTAACATAACAGTCTCCCCGTACATGACTGGTGTCATCACGGCTGAGCCTCAGGTGTCCATGTTCTAACAGCATCTGAATTCACCATTACATGTGCAGACCTCCGCGTCTCGGGTACATACTCACAGACACTGACTGGGAAATGTGAAGAATATCACAGGTTCAAGCTTTAGGACCAGTGTGATCCTTGGTTGAACCCAACAAGTTCTACTACTTGGTGACTTCTTCTTCTCTGTGTTTATAAAAAAGACAACATGTAGCTATGCAGTCAGTAGAAACAAGGGGATGATATTTGACCATATTTCCCTGGAATACTGCTGATTCAGTGTCTCCAACTAACAGTGGCGTTCTGACTGAGTAAATCCACTTCTTAATAACATCATTATGTCTACAGAGACCATCAGTATTAGGCAGAAATCTAGTATAACCAGTGGTTACATCTTAGATAACTCATGTAGCCATAATAACAGCATGACTAAAACAACAAACCCACGAAGCACAATGTACATCAAAAACATCAATAATTACATCATAAAATTACAATATGAACCAAAAGACAAAATACATTTTACTCTGCAAAATTTTCTAATTAGTTGTACACAGAATCCATCCTCCTCTCTTTCCTTAAGAGTTCAGTTACTCTGTTGTACAGATTATCAGTGCGTTCCAGTTCTAACGAGTCCTTTTCTACGTCCATCCATGCTAATGCTGATAGTCCAGTCTGCCCTGTCCTAGTTGTGGCAAAAGGTTTAATTCAACAGAATAATCAGCCACAAGCAAAAGAAACTGAGTGAATAAAAAAATGTCCTCTTCCATAAACAGTGAAGGTAGACAAATTCCCTGATCGACCAACGGCTGATGGTTACCTCAATCTCCATTAGAGCTAAAAAAAAAAATGAAACAGCAACACATTTGAACATAAAACAACATATGGATATAAAAGTATTGGATGTTTATATTATAATTACATTTCATGTTTTGTATTCCCTTTTTTGTATATACATGGACAAGCCCTAAAGCTCCTGGTGAAACATTTGCAGGCAGAGCTCCTATATAAGAAATGGACAGAGCTACCTGTGTTTCAGACTGTGGGGACAGGAAGAATGACATGTTCTTAGTCATATAAACACAGTTGACCAAAGGAAATCCTTCCAGGGACCTGGAGATCTCTTTAATCTGATTCTGCAACAATAACTCCTCAGTCCAAGACTTTGTCTTAGTCACTCTGATGCTACAACAACTCTAAGACGCCACCGTAGTAAATGCACTGACAGCCATGTTCATTTGTTCGGTTTTATACTGGTTTCTATCTTGGTTGTTCTGAACTGTTTTTGTACAAACAGTGATGGAAGTGAACACGACTTTAAATCTTCCACAGCTCCTCTGACCGAGTTGATGATCAGACTTGTCTTCCACCTGCTGGCTTTGACAGGACTCATCTCAACAGCCATCTTCTACCCAAGGGTACACACACACACCGGCTGCATTCACCCACCCAAGAGCAGAGCAGCAGTAACTCCTGCTCTGCTGTCCTTTCAGCTAAAGAATCAAGAAATAAGAAGAAGAAGAGAAGCAGGAGGAGGAGGAGGAAGACCAGCACCTCCAGACCAGGAGACGGCTCTGGAGGCCACTCCCTCTCTTATGACAGAGTGCTGAGAGAAAAGGTACAATTCTACATCCCAGGGTAAAACAAAAGTTTATTTCTTCATTAGACAAACTGGTAAATGAGACTAACTTATTTAACCAGGTTAGAGTTAACCAGAAATATGTTGGATGTGCACTTTTGTTGTACTTCATCTGTTGTTCAGGTATTTGTACTTAACTTCTCTATTTTTGTTTGAATTTAAAACCAGATTTCAGTTCTGTTAATTCCGTGCTCCCTGCAAACAGGAAATAGGTTTTTGAAGATTTTGTCTTTACTTGTTGCCTTCCCAGCATCAAGACTGATCTCAAATCAGTAAGGATGACTCTCCAAGCTCATAGAGAAATGATCTGCAGAAGATCCTTCCTGCACTGACAGTGATGAAGAACGTGAACCAGTGATGTTGTTGACAGCAATCTTACTTTGTCCTACAAGTTTGTTCATTTTGCCTGCTGTGTTCTTTTCTCATTTCCTGTTTTATACTTGACTTTCTTACTCATGAGTTCAGATGTTTCATTGAGTCAGGTCTGTGATCATTAGTTCAGTTGTGATCAAAAAACAGCTTCTGCTCTGACAAACTGTAAACTGTTTATATGCCTTTTTTCCAGCTTTTTTTCATCTTGACAAAGATCTGACATTTAGAAATAAATCCATAAACCTGTCAGTGA